ACAGGTGCATGGTCAGGAGTTCAGGTGCATGGTCAGGAGCACAGGTGCATGCTCAGTATCACAGGTGCATGATCAGGAGCACTGGTGCATCGGTCAGGAGCACAGGTGCATGTTGAGGAGCACAGGTGCATGGTCAGGAGCCCAGGTGCATGGTCAGGAGCTCAGATGCATGGGACAGGAGGAGCACAGGTGCATGGCCGTGAGCACAGGTGTTTGGAACATGAATATAGTGCATGCAAGAACACAGCTGCATGCAGGAGCACAGGCATGTATATGGTCATCTGCAGTGAATGATCAGGGACAGAGAATAGATGTGGAAGTCTGGTCACCAGATCTTGGCATGCTTATCAAGATGGGACATTCCCATGAGAAGGTTGCCTCTGTATCAGTGGTTCTGTAGTGACTAAGCAGACAATGCACTCTGTGGACAACATTCTGCTTCCCTTTTGTTGCTGCCTGCTCAGTGGGTGCATTTACAAAGTGGCCTTGGTAGTGGGTTGTGGGGGTTCTGTATGAACTTTCCTTCGCCAACTGACCTGGATACTGTTACTTCTGAGTGCCTAGAAAGGCATGAAGAGAAACCAACACTAAAGCTGTGTGGCATCATGCCTGGGAGGCAGGGTGTGAGGTCTGTTGCAAATCCGAATGACCAGGCAAGCATACAGAGGCGCATAGCATAGTTGTAGCCTTAAACCGAGACCACAATTGAAAGACTCACTGGCAGCCTAAGGGATGACAAATGACCCAAAGGAAGATCTAGATCTATCTGTAACATGGGACATAAAGATGGAAGGCCAGGGTGGAATCCAGAGGGCTGTGGCTGTGGCCAAAAGACACTTGCTAGCATGCAAGAGTCTCCTGCACCAAAGACGGTGGGAAGAAAGCAAAAGCCAAGCAGATGGACTGGAGGGCAGTAGTTCACGGCCACAATGTTGCCTCTCAGGATGCGAAGCAGGTGGATCATGAATGAGAAGCCAACCTGGACTATGAAGTGAGTTCTGGACCAACTGACCTACACAGAAAGGCCAAATCCAATAGATGACGATGACGATGACGATGACAATGACGATGTGATCTCTTAAGAGACGAGAAGGCTGCTATGAAAAGGTGGGGCTATTTCACTGGCTCTCTCCCCCTCCCTCTCCCCCTCCACTCCTCCCGTCCTTCATTAATCTCTGTAGAACAATCCCCAGTAATAAATGTGTTTTGCTAATGTTTGTGACACCGTGCATAGCTATGAGTGCAAGCACTTTAGCAAAGCCAAATAGAAGTTTCCCGAACAACAGAAGGCATCCCAGCACTTCCCATTCTTTCTTTCCAGACCCTGCTAACAAAGCACTTGGGCTCCTTTACAAGCCACGGTTGGAAAACAGCCTGCAGTTTCCAAAACATCATGAACAAAAATGCCAACCAGAACTCCAGGTGTTAAGAGTGAGAGTGTGGGTTGAGGTGGCCTTTGAAAGCGATATTGTCACACATGCTACACAATAGATGAGCCCTGAGGGACATCACGCTGTCAGCAGTGGTGGCAGTGAGACACAGTCCAGCACTGCTGCCAACAGCCTGCAGAGCTCCCCTCCTCCTTAGAGACCTCTGCTCAGGTGAAGCCATATGCTTGATGAAGGCACAGAAAAGAATTTCAAGATGAGCCAGACTAAAGGCAAACTGAGTGAGTTTATTAAGTATTTAGACAGAGTCCTATGAAAAAGGCAGTGTACACCCAAGTCATGGGTGTGGGCTTCTCTAAGATGGCCTGGGATTCCCCATGTAGACCAGGTAGGCCTTGAACTCACAGAGATCTGTGTTCCTCTGCATCCCAAGTGCTGACATTGAGCATGTGCTCCGCCGTGTTTACCAGCGCTTGGGCACCTTCACAATGGCTCTGGACATGATCCATGGCTTTGATTGGGAAGCATTTTTTTTTAAAACAAATTTTAAAGATTAAGTAGAGTTTGAAGTTTTGAAGTTAAGTGTAAAAGCAGTATTTAAGCTGGGTTACTTAAAGGGTTATGCTTTGTCAGTGGAGCTGTAAGGGAGTTGGTTGTCTCCAGCACACTGTTCCAATCTAGGGATGAGACATGGGTGCTGATATGGTAAAACTCACAGTTTCCAGTAGTTCTTGAACCCTTGTCTGAGAGGCCTTCAGGGAGACACACATGAAGTCTCCAGGAACTTTGGCTTCATCAGGTGATCGAGAAGTCTTGGACAGAAGCTGTGTTTTCAAAGGTTGGTGGACTGAGCAGAACCGAAATGATGTGGAGGGGTTGGGATGTTGCAAGTCCAGAGCCAAATCACCACAGGGCATCTTACGGTGCCCCTAATAGCCATCTGTCGCCCGCATCTACTGCCCAGCCTAACAGCTTGTGTGACCATTACGTCAATCCTTAGGAGTATATGAACCAACCCCTAGTTTCCATAAGAATGCTGTATCTATGGCCTGCAGCAGAGCTCTCCCCTCTCTGCTGTAACCTGCCTACCCCATGTCCCCACCTAAGTATTTGAAAATGTTATTTTGTAACTTTCTTCATTCTGTTGCTATAGACAATTCATGGGTTACTACTTGGCTGGGACATGGCATTTGGGGAGAGCAAACTCAGCGTTCCCAGCCATGGTCACTTCACTCCTGTTAGGTTCAGGATAGCCATCTCTTTTAGTCCTTGGCAGTGAGAGCTGTGTCCTTTACTGACAATCAGTGGTGTTGAGAATCTTGACATTTAGTCAGAAAGAAGGGAAGATTGTGTCCCAGGGAGGTGGGGCTCTCCTCTCCTCACCCCCTCACCCCCACTTCTCTCCCAGTGCCTTCCCATCTCAATGCTAAGTAATCCAGTCACAAAGGACCTACTGTGGTGCCCCTTCCACAGGTACCAGAACACTTGAATTCAGAGATGGAAAACAGAACGATGACTGCTAAGGGCTTAGGCTGGGGAAGGGAAATTCAGACTTACCGTTTAAGAGACGATGAATTTCAGCTTTGCAAGATGCAAGCTTGGGGATGGGTGAGCTAGAAGGCTACAGGCAACATGAAGTGGTCAGTACTTCTGGGCCACACTCTTTAAAATGCACATAGGAAGTTCTGAGTTAGGTGTAATTTACAACAGCAACAATAATAAAGTGACTTGGGGCCAGCCTGGTCTCTATATAGTGAGTTCCAGGCTAGCCTGTGCTACGTAATGAAACCCTGATTCAAAAATAAAATAGAATTACAGACTGGAGAGAGAGTGCAGCTGGTAGAGGGCTTGGCTAGAATGTAGTCTTGGACTCCAGCCCTGCATGAAAGGGATGTGATGGCTAACACCCAGAGTTCCTGAGCTCAGGGGGTGGAGGTCTGAGAATGAAGGACATCCTCAGCTGCATAGTGGGTTCAGGGAGAGACTGGGACATGAGACCCTGTCTTAAAACCAAAGCAAAACAAGCAAACAACAACAAGAAGAGTGAAATTAAGAAAAATATTGACTGAAAAGCTTGATGAAAGATACCCAATCAGCCAATTTAGAAAGCCCAAAGAGTTCCAAGCATGACAAATGCAAAGAAAGTGTGGCGAGACACTAACAGACTGAGGGAAGCGCATATTTCCTTTGAAGGCATATAATTAATAATAATTAAGGCCTATAATTGAGGAGTGGGTGCCTAGAGTCAACTGCTTCAAGAAAGCAGACAAAACAATCATAAAAGCTAGACTTTCATGGCATCAGTACGCGTGTTAAGAATTTAAATAAGCATGGGAGCAATAGCAGCAGACCATGCAAGGAAAGACCAGACTGAGGTGAAAACAACCCTGAAGAAGCAAGGCATGAGAGACAAAAAGAAAATAGTAAACCAAACAGAAGAAACAATGTAAGCTAGTAAAATAGATCCAGGTACACCAGCAAATATAATAAGTATAAATGGATTAGATACACAAGCTAAAAGACAGAGACTACCCCTAAAAACCTTTATGATGAAAGCAAGTCCAAGTACACGCAAAGTGGGAAATGCCTGAGAGACACAGACATTATCCCTGCCATACATATGTGGTCGACCATGGTGAACAACTGGCCGTGTTTACTTCATATATGTCTGTCTGATGAGGAGGCTATTAAGATCTATTTCACATAGTATACGTTACACAATGAGATATTAGTCACACGCTAGTAAGAGGATAGAACGCCTATTTTGGGTACTAGACAGACCTAGGCTCCCAGATCCTTTCCATCATGTGATTTATTTAATCATGTGAATTATGTGTAACCAATTCATTCTCTCCACAAGGTCCCAGTAAAGGTCTGAGGCGGGTCGTTTTCTGGTGATTGTGTTTCTAAATATTTCTTGCATAAACGAATAATGGTATCTATTAGCGAACGGTTCAGTGCAGTGCTTTGCGGTTTGGTAAACACAGAATGCAGAATAGCTTTTATTTATGACAGTTACTGAAAGCATTCAGCAGAGTGGCACGAAATAAGCAAACAATAATTGCCTGTTTATTATATTTATAATTGTTATTTATGAACTGTCACGAGGCCTAGCACATATCAGTAACCCATAAACATCGTGTTTGTAACAATAATAAGTACTTTATTATATTCAGGCTCAGCAGAGCTTGGCACCACACGTGCGGGAAGAAAGTGGAAGTTTATTCTTGTTAATTATTATTATTAAGTAAAGCACTTAACAGTTCTCCCCGCAGGCGCTAACTAAACTGTCTAGCCACAGACTGCCCTTCCTCCCAAGCAGCGCGAGACCACGCCCCCTGCGGTGGAAGCTCCGCCCCCGCCGGCCCGGCCGTGCCTGCGCAGTGGCCCAGAAAACTCCGCGCACGCGCAGTCTCCCTGCCGTCGCCGGAGCCTCCGGCCAGTGCCG